CTATCTTATGGCAAACTTGTGCACAGGTTTCCCAGAAATTAAAGCCTAAAAAAGTTGGAAAATGCTTAAGCTGTATCCATGGCTAAGCACTGATGTGTTAAAACTGTTCTCTTATAGAATTCTTTATTTCTCAAAGCAGTAAACAACTTTTGCATAAAGATTTCATTGCACATATAGTCTTAATAAAATTGCAATCATACATCTGTTTACACTACAAGTTTTTCAAACCAGACCCAACACAAATATAACCTATAAGATAATGCTTTTAATGGTGAATAAACCAAGAAGGGTTTTGAAGGGAAAATGTTTGAAACAATTTTTTTCTGTGTTCAGACAAAAATATCCATGCTTCACGTGCAATTAACAGACACAAGAAAGTGATAACCTACCCAAGTGGCACTTAGGAACTATACATTACTACAACAAGTAAGTATTGCATCTATGTTTTAAACAGTGCTTTATGCAAAATGACTTATCTTTTTTAAGCTGGTTTGTTAACATAATCCAAGCCTGTTTTAAAAGAAACAGTTTTTAATTTATAAGTCTAATGTAATTTAAAATGCTCAGGAGTTCAAGACTTACTAGTTCCACCTTAAAAATTTAGGTAAAACATGAATCTAAGTCTAGTCAGTGATGACAGCCTGGCATGTTTATGGACACAACACTGCCTTTATTAAAGTTAATGGTAAAATTCCCATTGATTTTGATAGTGTAGAACCAGACATCATGGGAATTTCATAGTTAGATATTTTGTGATTGGATACACAGCATGGTTCTTTGACAGGCTGCACAAGTGTTCTTACGTCATCCATCAAGCAGATTATCTTTATAAATAAGAGGGGCCTTAATAATAGTTAGTAGTGTTTTAGATTTATTCTAGGTTTCTGTAATTCTATTCTAGATACTTCATTTTCCCCTTCACCAACTGCTGCTTTTACAACCTTTTCTGAATAAAGTATTTTTCAAACACTGGTTCAAAAAAAAAAAAAAAAGAAATTAAAGTACAACTTTGTTTTTAAAACATTTTACTAAACATAATTTTAAAAGATGAGTTATTAGTTTAAGTGATTAAACTTTAAAAACGTTTCTGTGAGTGATGCTTTTAATCATAATTTAATATTGTAATCATTAAACAAACACTATATAGTGCCTGTCTTCACAACTATTTAGTTGTTACACACTGAATCTACCTGAGGCACTGCAGTGTTAATGATAGAAAAGTTTGCTTTATTTGAGTTTATCAGAGAAACTTGTGTCCCACGTAACTTTTCTCTTAGTTTACTACAGTGGAGTATAGGAATCACATGGATCATTCATTGAATTAAGCCTTTGGGAATCATGAACATGGAGCAGGCATTTAACCCAGAGCTACTGCAGACCATCCACATGTACAATGCATTACAAAACCTTTCTAGTGTTCTTTAAGATCTGTGGTGTTAAAAACAAACAAGCAAACAAACCCCCCCCACCAACTATAAGCTGCTACAGCATGTGAGTAGGCGAGAAATATCCTGAGTTCCTGTGACAGGGAGAAATTTGATAGGTAAAATTCCCAGCTGATCTTAGAAGGAAGACCATGTCCCAGACAGCAAAGGGAGACAAAAAGTCCCAAGTGTCTCTGACAAACTGATCAAGCAAAGATTCTGTGAGTCAAAACCTGGTGATTAATTTTGAGAACAAGAAGATGGCACACTGACCTGGGAGAGACCAGTGCTACCAGGAGGAGCCAAGCCATACTGTTCTGCGTACTGTCTATATCCCTTCTGCAGGAGGTAAAAATGAAATGCATCCAGAAGTCAAGAGTTTCAGAGGAAAGGAAGGAAAATAATAACCACCTTGGTTCTGCTGCATGATCAGCAGAGGTACTGAAGCATAAGATTTAAATGGCTTAAAAATGGTGCAGAGAAAACTAGCGGTCCAGTCTTCTTTCAAAGTCCCCTGGAGATTTGACCCTCTCTCATATGTAAGGATTCTTATCACAAGCTTATATTCTGTTCTCCTGATTTTCACATTTTGTATAGCATGGCAGTGCTTTTCCAGGCTTATCAAGCACCACCATAAAACAATACATATTTTTTGCCTTCTCCTTAGTTTGAGACTTCCCAGGTAGAGAGAAAATTTTCCAACTTCTAGCCTTAACATATTGTGACTCATTGGCAGACTTGATCAATACCATTCTTAAATTAAATGATCTTCTTTATTATGTACATTACTTCATATGACAGACACCCTGTTCTCTTGGTCCCTGTAATAGCTGTTAGTATATAGCAGCCCTGAATCAAGTCAATGAAATCTGACCATAAGTAGTTCGTAATTATAATTTTTTTTGGATTAATACAGTGTCTGAGGCCTGATCTTATCTATATTTCTAACTAACACCTCTAGTACACAGAACAGTCTGCTTTTTTTTTTTCTGGATAAGGTGTTTCTCTGGCTGAAGCACAGACATGCACTTTTCTTAATTTGCTTGGCTGATGATTTCTTACCTGATACAAATACAATGTATTTTAAGGGGAAATCAACTGTGATCTACAACTGTAGCCAGTAGAATGGTTTGAAGTAGATTTACATAAAAATGTGAAGATACTTTATTCTTTCTATTGAAATACAACTTGATAGAATTGAATTTATAAACAGCACCTAGGTTTTATTATATAACTAATTTAAAAAACCCTTCCAAAAATTATAGGCAAAATCTTGCTTATTCATACTGTTCTAAATCTGAATTAACCTCAGAAAAGGTGAGTGAACACAGTGAGGCACATTTGTTTTAAATTTCTGCACGCTATGAGCTTACGTATTTGTTAATGCATTTATCTGAATCTGTCCAACTGGTTATATCTCCTAGTGTGATGTTATGTAGAAATGTGATACTACCATATATAAAGAAAAATAAACATACCAACAGATATTTGATACACAGAATACTTATCATGCACATCTTTTTTCTCTCCTTACACCTACGAGCATTGGCCATGACAGCATACAATGTGTACACCTGAGTAAAAGGGGACAGGAATGGCTTTGTGTCTCAAAGGCAAGTGCTATGTCATGACTTGCACCCATACAGTAGATGTTTTCTTGTGCTGAAAAGCTTGATTGCTGAAATGAAACTTGGAAGAGGTCCTTGACCCATGCTAACCCACTTGTCCTGAGGCCCTGCCCTTGGGTTAGTGCTGGCTGGCCTAACCCAAAATCACACCAGGAACCATGCTGATGACTTAGTGGTATGGATGATCACTTGCTAGTTCTCAGACCTGTGCCCAGACTCTGGCCGCCAGTTTACTGTTACGGACATAGCCTAAGGCTTGGTCCAATTCTACTACATCAACAAAGTCAATGCGGTCTCTCCAGAGAGAGTTAGACTTGGCCTTAGGCACCTAATTTTATTAACATTAAGAAAATTACAACATAAGCAAAAATAACCCCAAAGAAAAACAAAAAATAGAAACTTGAAAATGAAACATATGCTTGCAGATTCAGTGCAAAAGCAAACTGAAGCAGAAGTTGCTAATATGGTTTTAGTACTTTGTGAAGGTGCCAGCTGGATGGATGATAATTTTTCTACCCCTGCAGGGCATCAAAGCTTTTATAAAATCATTCTTTTCACACATATTAGCACTTGGCTTATTAAAACAGATGATACTTTTTTTTGTAAAGCTGCCTGGAAGTGTCTGGAAATATAAAATCTGAGAGATAAGTCTCATTTTGACCACCCAGTCTAACAAACAACAAACACTGACATGACATACCATGGCTGAGAGACTATGTTATGGGACCTTCTGTGACTGCCACAACTGTAGTGTCACAGTAAAGGCTGTGAATTGCTGTTATGAAAACATTTGCTGTAACTTGCATAATTAAATGAAACTGCCAGTAAAGCTTTCTAAAATACTTAGGAGATGACACACAAATAAATACATTTCAAAGTCTGTATTATGTTCCAGAATTTGTTTTGTAATAAATTGCACTGCACAGTGCCAGAGATGACTTCTTTCCGTGTTCAAAATCCCACATAATTATAAGTGACTGACATCATTGTCATGTAAATGGATTCAAGTTTATAATAAAATAACTTTTATTTTTGACATATTTTACCTGTATAGTGCTTTGAATTTCTGTAGAAGGTACAATTTCAGCTGCCTACAGCTTCTCCTTCAGGCAACTCAGAAAGTGACATACTAGACATAAATTAGTGGTCAGAACTTGAATGAGCAAAAATATGCACAACAGTGTGCTCATGACCTTATAGGAGAGCCTTGTATGAGGAAAATTTTGGTAGAGTAGGTGGCCATTTCTAACAAAAAGAGGAGTAATCAGGACAAAGGGGTGAGTGGAAAGAGGCTGCGGAAGCCAGTATCGAAGCTGAGGACAATTATTGCGAAGACACAGGCTAGCTAGCAATGTGTGGGCCTTGACGATGACAATGAGGATTAATCTGAATTTACAGAAGCAGGATTAGAATTTTGAAAACGGGTTCCACAATTCAATAAATGTTTGGCCAGCTTTAAAAACCTGTAAGTCTTAAACTAAAAATCCATAAAGCAAAATTCTAAAAGTCATTCCATGAAAATACCAAACCTGTAGATGTACCTGGCATAACTTCCTGTGTACAAGCAGGCAGTGATACGTACAAGTTCTTTATTTAGGGAAATTATGTCTGCAATGGAGTCCACAAACCACATCAATCCAATTCTCTCCATTAACGCATTCAAAATCAAAAGATGGAACACAATTGGACAACTCACAGTAGTAGTAGACTATTTCAAACAAAAGCCTTCTACCAATTTTATTTATGCCTTCTAGCACTTAAAATTTTCATGCAGAAAATGTTTAAAGAGAGGCCACCCTTGACAGCTGAAGATGGTAAATAAAAAGCAAAAGAAAAAATGATCCAACAGGGAAGAATATCTGAATGGCTTGTTGAACATCATCAAATGCAGCTTATCTCTTCTGATGTAGCAGTGATACCAGCAAGCTTTGCAAGGGTAGTTACTTACATCAAATAACTTCTCTATGTACATTTCCTCATTGACCTTTTCCCGAAGTATATCCTGGTTTTGTCGAACAAACATAATGTAGGTGTCTGCTAGATCCATCCCTGGTTTCTGTGGAGACATAAAGTAAGAGGAGAAAGTAGTGTGAAGGGAAA